GAATGCCTCTCAGATTTCTACTAGCTAATGTATAGCTTTACTGAGAAGTGACCAGCTTTTGTAGCAACTTTGCTTCCTAATGACTGTATTTTATATTAAACTTTTGAAATAACTTGGTTTGAATATCTGCTCAAATTCTATTATATAAAAGTATATACAAACTGTTATAAGTGAAAAGTCTGACAAGAATAAGTTTGAAAAGAAAAGCTGGCAAGATTAAACCACAACTAGTAGACAGAATTCTGATTTACCCATCCCTCAGTTCCAGTTATGTTTCTTTCTCATGATCAGCTAGAATACTGAAATATACAGAAATATTACTGTCAATATGATTTTGTATATTTCAATATTGTTGTTGCTTATAAAAATAGTAAACAAAGAAAAGGTAGCAGGAAAAGTCTGCAAGCTCAAAGCTGATCTAGGGGTTAAAGTGCAAGAGTAGGAGACTGGAGATCTGGGAACAGATCTTCAGCTGGCTCAAACTATGGGCCCCCCTTGTTGGCAAGGGATCTCTGACAATTTATACCAGCAGAATATCTGCTTTGTGATCTTCAGTTCCAGACCAGCCACAGACCTGTTATGTGATCTCATGCAATGAGTTTGACCGCTCTCAGTCTAAATTTCCCATCTCTGAAATGGGCATAAATAATATTGATTTGGTGAGGCTTTATTTACTGAATGATTATAAAACTCCTTGAGATCTTCAGATGAAAGATCTTTCAGAAGTGCTGTTAGTCATGATTGTAAAGAAATTTAGTGCCAAAGAAGGCTTTTTAGGCGTGGCTGGGCTCAGCTGGGAATCTGACATTTTATGCTGACAGAATTTAAACCTGTTGGGACTGAGAGGCTTCTGTATCAAGAGGAACCAGCAGATGGGGAGGGGAACAGAACAGAAACAACAAGTTGCATTTTTCTGATACTCCAGGTGAAAATTCAGATCTACTGCTTTTGTCATTGTTCCTGTAGGTACATAATAACCAAACCTTTTTAAACAGGAGCTCTTCCCTCTGAGAACCATTCACATTGTATCATGCAACTTCTACCACTACTTACAGCACACACCTGGCACTGCCTATGTACAATGAGCAAATGTGGACAGACATTAAGCAATGTCAGTATTGATTGGCTGAGGTTTTTCAAAAGTGCTTAAGGGATTTGGATTCCTGCTTAAGTTAGTAGCTTTGACAATCTTTTACTAAATTGGAAAAATATTTGACCAAACTTTGTAGCCTTTATTCAGCCAAACTTTCATTTAAATTACTGTCAGTTTTGCCTGGGTAAAACTGACAGGATTTATTCCACTGGAAAGTTATCAAGGGTTTATTTTTCCTCTCCTTTTTTCTTCTCCAAACAGAAATGATCAGCTATCCAAGCTGAAAGCTGCAGGATTTGACAAGCCAGTAATTCTCCGCCACTATGGTGATGGTGGGAGAGAAATCTTCAACAAGAAATTTAAGAGACAGAGCTCTAAAACATTCACATTTGAGCTGCTGAATGGAAAACCACAAATACCAACAATTAAGCAGATGGATCCAGCATGGAAAAAACTGCATTACGGGCTAATTGACGGCTCATCATTGGTTTAGTATCCTTTAGATTTAATACAATTGAAATGAATGGAGATTGGGGGAGGGTTTCAACATATGAAAAAATGATTTGGCTTTTTTTTCTTGAAGCATTAAATCTTAGGAAAATTCAGAAGAGCAAAGCGTTGTCATTTTGTTATCTGCTTATTGGCTTGTATTGATATGGCAACAACATGTAGGTAAGTCAAGAGTCAGGCCAAGATTAAGCAAATGGGCCCACCCATATACTCCCCCCCTCTCCCCCCCCCAAAAAATTATACCTAGTCTTTTATTTTAATTGCAACTGGGACATATCAAGAGCTACAGTGTAATCCGCTAAAGTATTATGCATTTAACCTGAACAAACAGAACTTTAATTAGTTTTACTCTGGGGCACTACCCTATACTGTCAAGTATAATCTGATCCATGGGAAAATGTATACCTGCTAACCCTAAGAGAAGCCAAAACAGGAAGCACAAACCTGAGTCACAGAACATTTTTCTATTTCCTATTGTTCTATACCAGCAGGA